CTGTTAGTCTTAAAGATGCCACAGGACCCTTTGTTGCTTTTTAACATAAATCCTATAGAACTGACTTGAAGCAGGATGGATTAGTTTCAGCATAATGTGCTGCTATGAAGCTTTAGGAACAATCGTCACATCTTAGAGCTCAGGTTCATCCTAAAAAGGACATGTTTGGGCTCTGAAAAAGGGATAGCACAAAGATGTATATTTCAAAGGTGACGCATTGAGGAAGGAAGGCACAAGGGATATGTCTGCACTGCCTTTTGATATGAGGGAAGGTTAATAGTAAGGAAAATGTCACATTCCCTCATTGGTAAGTTTAAGATTCTGACAGATATTTTTAGTAAAAGTCAGGAACAGGTCATGGGCAGTAAACAAAGATTCACAGAAGCCCATGACCTGTCCCTGACTTTTACTAAAAATACCTGGGGGAGGGGGATGACAGAGCACTGCCGAGGCTTGCAGCTGCTCCAGACCTGCCACTGCTCCTGTGGTAGGGGCTGACCCAACCCCAGCCTCTGCTCCGGCAGCCCTGCCCCAGAAGTAGTCACGGAGGTCCCAGAAAGTCATGGAATCCATGATGTCCATGACAGAATCGTATCCTTACTCATTGGTAATGCAACATGGAAACACAGATCTCTTGATGCCTCTTAACCAATGGGGTGGAATAACCATGTAAATAATCAGCTATCCATAGAAATGTAGGGCTGGAAGTAACCTCAAGAGGTTGTATAGTCCATCCACCCCACACTGAGGCAGGACTAAATAAACCTAGACCATCCTTGACAGGTGTTTGTCTAACCTGTTCTTAAAAACCTCCAGTGCTGGGGCTTTCACAACCTCCCTTGGTAACCTATTCCAGAGCATAGCTACCCTTCTAGTTAGAAAGTTTTTCCTAATATCTAACCCAAATCTCTCTTGCTGCAGATTAAGCTGATTACGTCTTGTCCTACCTTCAGTGGACATGGAGAACAATTGATCACTGTCCTCTTTATAACAGCCATTAACATATTTGAAGACTGTTATCAGGTCCCCTTTCAGTCTTCTTTTCACAAGACTAAACATGGCCTTTTTTTTAACCTTTCCTCTACAGGTCAGGTTTTCTAAACCTTTTATTATTTTTATTGCTCTCCTCTGGACTCTGCAATTTGCCAAAATCTTTTTTAAAGTATGACACCTAAAACCAGGCACAATATTCCAGATGAGGCCTCACCACTGCTGAGTATAGTGGGACAGTTACCTTCTGTGTCTTACAGAAGGGGGGAAGGGATAGCTCAGTGGTTTGAGCATTGGCCTGCTAAACCCAGCATTGTGAGTTCAATCCTTGAGGGGGCCACTTGGGGATCTGGGGCAAAATCAGTACTTGGTCTTGCTAGTGAAGGCAGGGGGCTGGACTCAATGACCTTTCAAGGTCCCTTCCAGTTCTAGGAAATGGGATATCTCCATTATTTAAAAAAAAGACACTCCTGTTAATACATCAGTCTTTTTCACAATGGCATCTCATTGTTGACTCATATTCAATTTGTGATTCACTATAACCTCCAGATCTTTTTCTCCAGTACTACTGCCTAGCCCATTATTTCCCATTAGTATTTGTGCATTTGACTTTTCCTTCTCAAGTGCCATGCTTTGCATTAGTCTTTATTAAATTTCATCTTGTTGATTTCAGACCAATTCTCCAAGTTACCAAGTCATTTTGAATTCCAATCTTGTCCTCCAAAGTGCTTGCAACCCCACACAGCTTGCTGTCGTTCAGAAATTTTATAAGCATACTTTCCACTCAGTTATCCAAATCATTAATGAAAATATTGAATAGTACCAGACCCAGGACTGACTTCTGCAGGACACAATTGGACACCTTCTCACAGTTTGATAGCAAATCTTTGATAACTACACTTTGACTATGATTTTTCAACCAATTGTGTACCCATTTTATAGTAATTTCATCTAGACCACATTTCCCTAGTTTGCTTATGAGAATGTCATATGGGACTGTGTCAAAACCCTTACTAAAATCAAGATATATCACGTCTATTGCTTTCTTCCTATCCACTAGGCCAATAACTGTCAAAGAAGGAAATTAGGTTAGTTTGACATGATTTGTTTTTGGGCTATTCCTTATAACCCTATTATTCTTTAGGTGTTTACAAACTGATTAATAATTTGTTCCAGCTTCTTTCTAGGTATTGGATTTAGGCAGATTGATCCATAATTCCTCTTATTAAAGATAAATTCATCTTCCCCCAGTGCGTGCCCCTGCCCTTTTACTTTGTTGTAATGAAAAGAGGCAGGATTGAAGTAGACATCTGTTTCGATACTCCCCCATTAATTGTGTTACTGTGCACATTGTACTCTCATCCTGAATTCTCCTATGGAGTGTTGTCTTAAGAAAATGCGATTAATGTGAGTGTTCCCCATTTGGGCATGCTGTACTGTACTAGAATTTAAACACACTTTTTACATTAGGAGGAATCTTCTTGGTGTTGCCACCTAAAAACTGTCATTCTTTCAATAGGAAATATTTCACAAATGGTTTATTAATGACACCTCCATGGTCGGGAATGGTTTCCTTTAAATATTATCATCAATGGCATTTAACATTCATATACATTTCAGGGTATAGAAATAGAAAGGGAACAGGTGGAAATAACGTATGGAATTAGTATTAGTAAATAGAACATTTGGTGAAATGGTCAAACCATTTAAAAATTAATATAAAAATACAAAATTTTATTTTTTAATTTTGTTAATATTTAACTTGTATTCATTCAGTAGTGTCATCATTCTACAGTCAGTTGGGTGAAAAGTTCATCATAGTGAGAAAGTTACTATATAAGAATGGATACTTTCAACTATATATTTAGGCATGTTATACTATAAAAGTGAGGTATTTGTATTTAGTAATTCCTAACATAATGTAAAACCCTATCTTTTCATTGATTAGCTCAAATGAAGATTGGCTGTGACAATACTGTACTACGAATGGTGTCCAGTGGCAAGCATATTAATCGTGTGTCATTTGAGTATCACCAGCTTGACCAATATGAATTGGAAAACAGAAAGGAGAATAGCATTGAGGAGTTCTGCTTCCCTAGTATTTGAGAAACCATTCAAAGCATTTTCACGCTGCTAGCAAAAATATGGTCTTGGTTGATAAAAAATGTACTTTTAATTTTAACTAACTAGTATTATCAAACTTTCTATGGCATAAGCATCCTTATCTTTTTCATATTAAACAGCTGTTCCCATGACCAATCAGGAAAAATGACCTAATGTGTTAATCTTTCTATTTATCATAATACTGTTTTTTGTGTGCAATATTTAGGTTCCTTTATTGTATCCAAAATTAATAAAGAGAACAGATGACTATGTTCCCAATATAATTATTAATTCAAAAGGACATAGGCGAAAATCCTCTGTGTAGCTAGTTTGAGCACGCATAAAAACTACAAATTAATATCAAATTCAATTAGCAACTTTATCTTTTTATATCAGATGCACGCACAAAAAGAAAAAACTATGGTGGAATGCACATCAGTTTTATAATAGAAAATTCATTATTAGTATGTGCAAAGATTGCTTATTTATTACTATAAATGTACTATTATTTATTTCTAATTACTTGTTTTTAATAAAAACATTTGTAGCATGGAAACTTTTCCTTACACAAGTCCAAACATGAATAAATACATTCAAAGTGTTGGCAAAATTTTATGTTGCATTTGTTCGAGAAGCTGTTTAACTCTCTGGTTAACTTTGTAAATCTTGTGCAGTTTTGTTGGAAATGATAATCTTGGACATCTGTCACGGTAAAACTGGACCATTAAAGTAACATTATGGCCACAAATTCGGTTTGCACTGTTGCATACCCATATGAAGACTTACAATAAGCACTGATTTAATAGTTAATTAAAAACCTTAAACAGTAAAGATAATTAAGTGGGCACTATTAGGAAAGTGTGGGTATAAGTACCTATAAATACAGGTATTTTTGTCCCTGGACCTTTACCTACCCATAAGAGGGGAATGTTGTGTTAGCACTCCAAGTACAGCTTCCAGAAGGGTAACAGTATATTGAAATATCAGCATTACACAAATGATCCTACCTTAGAAAAATAAGGCTCCATCTCAAGTGTATCTCAGGAGCACTTCTCGATTGATTCTTCACATCTTTGAAATTATTGCTGCTAAATTTAGGCCTTGGTGACATGGCTGAGATTTTTAATACTGGGTCCCTAAAATTAGGCTCCTATATCCATATTCAGGCACCTAAACAAATGTCCTGATTTTCAGAACTACCAACCACTCATCTGCTCCCACTGAAATCAGTGGCAGTTGCTAGGGCCTCAGCATCTCTGAAAACTGACACTTCTGTAGGAGCCTAACTTTGGGGACCCTGTTCTGAACCTATAAAATCTGTTGTGGGTTGGGTGAATCATCATTGAAACAGGTGGGTGTAACCACTACCCCTCACTTAAGATAGCGATAAGAAACAGTTAGGCTCCTTTATGAAATAACAGGAGTTTTCGTCCTAAACACAGGTACACGCAGTGCCTTAACCAAAAACACATGTGAGTCTGCACAGGAATTAGAATGATGTGGGTAGAGGGTTTATAGCTGGGTTTTGTTTTGTGGGACCGTGCATTTCTGTGTGAGAGAAGACAGAAGCAAGCAGAAAGCCAAGCTGACGGTAACAGAAATGCTGGTAATGTGGCTCTGAGAGAAAACTTTTGGGGCACAGAATGCTGGCTGGGAAGGCAGGCTTGGAATAGGAAGCAAAGAAACTTTCTCCTACTATTTGTTCCTACAGTATTCAGGGAGACAGGATTTTGTGTATAGTCTTTGTAAATAAACAAGATTGCATCAAAGAAAATACCTGTCTCTATCATCAATTTCTCCTTCTAGTGGAAACAACCTGCAGGGCCCTGCACTTCAGCTATCTGTGTGTGTGAAAAAGGGGTAACAGTAAAATTATCTTTTTGGAACCAGATCATGACACCCTCTTCAGAATCTGTTACAAAAACCATGCTTGAGAGGTGTTCACACAGCCGTTTCTTTCTCACAGTGCAATCACATTATGTGTGTGTGTGTGAGAGACACCCATCATGCTTTGTATCAGTGTATCCCAGGAAAATCTAAAATGCTATACTCTAGCAGCAGAAGGGGATAGAGGGCCTACTGTCTGCTGCTTCTTACATTATGCAGTAGTTTATATCCATGCCAAGCGAAGGCAGTGTTCTAACATCAGCATGAGTGGAAAGTGTCTGAGCTGATGGTACTTTACACCCTCCTTTGCAAGCATGTAAATGGCTATACAAGCTGCAAGGCAATGAAGTGCCTAAGGGGTGTATCCAGAGGACCTAGAAGCTGTATGCACAGTGGCACCAGCAACATATAGGGCAATGCACTTTAATATGCCATGCTATATAGATAGGCTAGGAGGACCAGTCAGCCCAGTTACACAGCACAGTAGAAGATTCTACATAGCAAGGAGACAACCATGTGTTGCACTGACCACAGACAAGAGTGACATATGGCTATTCATGTGCTTACTAACCATGGCAGTTATACAGCATGTGGACACAATCAATGTGAAGAACGAGCCATAATAGCTAGCCCAGGCACCATCCTTTGCTGCAGTCACCAGAACATCTTGCCACCTTATGAACAAGAACGCTACTGCTCACTGTTTCAGCATTTGTAATGTTTTGGTATGAAGTCTAAATTGACACCCTGGGATTGTAAATGTTGCTTACAGTGCAGTAGTGATATATTCTCGTACTGCAAGTGCTGTTTTATTACTGAGCCAATGTTAAGAGTGCACATTACTTTTCTCTAGTCCAGGGGTAGGCAACCTTTCAGAAGCGGTGTGCCGAGTCTTCATTTATTCTCTTTAATTTAAGGTTTCGCGTGCCGGTAATACATGTTCATGTTTTTTAGAAGGTCTCTCTCTATAAGTCTATATTATATAACTAAACTATTGTTGTAAAGTAAACAAGGTTTTCAAAATGTTTAAGAAGCTTCATTTAAAATTAAATTAAAATGCTGATCTTACTGGTGTTCTGTTCACCTAGGCCTGCAGTGGCTGAGCAGGGCGACTCGAGGTCAGGGCAGAGGGCTGCGGTGTGTGTGGAGGTGCAGGGCAAAAGGCTGGGTGTTGGGGGGAGGTGCAGGGCAGAGGGCTGGGAGGGTTATGCCCTGTTTCACCCCCTCCCCCAGGCCCATCCCTACCTCTCTCTGCCTCCTCTACGGAGCTGTGTGCAGCCTGCCGCTCTTCCCCCTCCCCCTCGCAAGGGCCATCCCGGCAGGGAGAGGGAGGCGGAGGGGCAGAGGGGCCGGAATGCACCAAGCTGTGGGAAAAAGCGGGGGAGGAGGGAAGCTTGGCTGCCGCAGGACAAGCTTCTGCCTCCTGCCCCCGCAGGGGAGAGCGGTGGGCGGGGGGGCTG